TATTAAAGAATATTTTTTCAAGGCATATATAAGGCGTGGATTTATTAAAGAATATTTTTTCAATGTGTGTATATTAGGCGTGGATTTAATAAAGAATATTTTTCCAGGGTATATATAAGGAATATTTTTTCAAGGCATATATAAGGATTTATTAAAGAATATTTTTTCAAGGCATATATAAGGCGTGGATTTATTAAAGAATATTTTTTCAAGGCATATATAAGGCGTGGATTTATTAAAGAATATTTTTTCAAGGCATATATAAGGCGTGGATTTATTAAAGAATATTTTTTCAAGGCATATATAAGGCGAATATTTTTTCAAGGATATTATGGATATTAAGAATATTTTTTCAAGGCATATATAAGGCGTGGATTTTTTTATATAAATGAATATTTTTTTTTAGGCATATATAAGGCAAGGCATATATAAGGCGTGGATTTATTAAAGAATATTTTTTCAAGGCATATATATACGGCGTGGATTTATTAAAAGAATATTTTTTCAAGGCATATATAAGGCGTGGATTTATTAAAGAATATTTTTTCAAGGCATATATAAGGCATGTCAGTGTAAGGAAGAGGTGCTGTTGACCTCTAATCGGGGTAGAGGGAGCAAATATCACGAAATATTGCCCAACCTCGGAATAAACATCCGCAGAAAGTTAGAGTTCTGTGGTAGTTGTGTAGGGTATCGTATGGTCGGCCCCGTCCGACTATACTGCTCCGCTCACTGATTAAAAGAATATGTTTAGGATTGATTTTTATACCCTTCACCACACTGTGGTACAGTGTATTATGTCATTGTGCGTATGTTTGTAATAGGCAAAAGGAAACGAGATAGACCCATAGTTCCTTTTGAGAATGTGCATAAAAACACTTTCTGAGTCGATTTATGCATGCCCGTCCGTCCGTCCGCCCGTCTGTTGGTGTTAAATTGTAAGCAGGTCGCATTTATAATCCGATTTGGATGAAATTTGGCGCAGCTCATTTATTTGGCCCAAGGACGAACCCCATTGAAATTGAAAATCGGTTCAGATTTAGATATAGCTCCCATATATATTTTCGTCCGATTTAATGTAAATGGTACACCAAAGACCCTATATATCTTTTGATTTGCACGAAAATTGACATAACGAACTGAATTGAGCCTAAAATGATGTCTGCAAAGCTTCGTGAATATCGGTCCAGATTTAGATATAGGTCCCATATATAGTTTCGTCCTATATATTTTTCGATTTGCACGAAATTTGGCATAACGTACTGAATTGAGCGTAGAATGGTGTCTGCCAAGTTTCGTGAAAATCGGTCCAGATTTAGATATAGCTCCCATATATAGTTTCTTCCGATTTTATGTAAATGGCGCACCAAAGTCCCTATATATCTTTCGATTTGCACGAAATTTGGAACTGCTCACTTAATTGAGTCTAGAATGATGTGTGCCAAGTTCCGTAAAAATCGGTCCAGATTTAGATATAGCCCCCATAGGATGCATCTGTTTAATATGCCCATAGTGGTGAAGGGTATCATATAGTCGGCCTCGTCCGACTTTACTACTTTCCTTACTGGTTTTTAAGCTCGGCTTATGGAACGAAAGTTCTGGCACAAGCCAGCTAAGTAAGTAAGCATAAGGCGTGGATTTTTAAAAGCATATTTTCCCAGGCCTATATAAGGCGTGGATTTTTTAAATAATATTTTCCCTGGCCTATATAAGGCTTGGAATATTATTCCCAGGCCTTTATAAGGCGTGGATTTTTTAAAGAATATTTTCCCTGACCTATATAAGGCTTGGAATATTATTCCCAGGCCTTTATAAGGCGTGGATTTTTTAAAGAATATTTTCCCTGACCTATATAAGGCTTGGAATATTATTCCCAGGCCTTTATAAGGCGTGGATTTTTTAAAGAATATTTTCCCTGACCTATATAAGGCTTGGAATATTATTCCCAGGCCTTTATAAGGCGTGGATTTTTTAAAGAATATTTTTCCCAGGCCTGTATAAGGCGTGGATTTTTTAAAGAATATTTTTCCCAGGCCTGTATAAGGCGTGGATTTTTTAAAGAATATTTTTCCCAGGCCTGTATAAGGCGTGGATTTTTTAAAGAATATTTTTTCCAGGCCTGTATAAAGCGTGGATTTTTGAAAGAATATTTTTCCCAGGCCTGTATAAGGCGTGGATTTTTTAAAGAATATTTTTCCCAGGCCTGTATAAGGCGTGGATTTTTTAAAGAATATTTTTCCCAGGCCTGTATAAGGCGTTGTTTTTTTAAAGAATATTTTTCCCAGGCCTGTATAAGGCGTGGATTTTTTAAAGAATATTTTTTCCAGGCCTGTATAAGGCGTGGATTTTTTAAAGAATATTTTTTCCAGGCCTGTATAAAGCGTGGATTTTTGAAAGAATATTTTTCCCAGGCCTGTATAAAGCGTGGATTTTTGAAAGAATATTTTTCCCAGGCCTGTATAAGGCGTGGATTTTTTAAAGAATATTTTTCCCAGGCCTGTATAAGGCGTGGATTTTTTAAAGAATATTTTTCCCAGGCCTGTATAAGGCGTGGATTTTTTAAAGAATATTTTTCCCAGGCCTGTATAAGGCGTGGATTTTTTAAAGAATATTTTTCCCAGGCCTGTATAAGGCGTGGATTTTTTAAAGAATATTTTTCCCAGGCCTGTATAAGGCGTGGATTTTTTAAAGAATATTTTTCCCAGGCCTGTATAAGGCGTGGATTTTTTAAAGAATATTTTTCCCAGGCCTGTATAAGGCGTGGATTTTTTAAAGAATATTTTTCCCAGGCCTGTATAAGGCGTGGATTTTTTAAAGAATATTTTTCCCAGGCCTGTATAAGGCGTGGATTTTTTAAAGAATATTTTTCCCAGGCCTGTATAAGGCGTGGATTTTTTAAAGAATATTTTTCCCAGGCCTGTATAAGGCGTGGATTTTTTAAAGAATATTTTTCCCAGGCCTGTATAAGGCGTGGATTTTTTAAAGAATATTTTTCCCAGGCCTGTATAAGGCGTGGATTTTTTAAAGAATATTTTTCCCAGGCCTGTATAAGGCGTGGATTTTTTTAAGAATATTTTTCCCAGGCCTGTATAAGGCGTGGATTTTTTAAAGAATATTTTTCCCAGGCCTGTATAAGGCGTGGATTTTTTAAAGAATATTTTTCCCAGGCCTGTATAAGGCGTGGATTTTTTAAAGAATATTTTTCCCAGGCCTGTATAAGGCGTGGATTTTTTAAAGAATATTTTTTCCCAGGCCTGTATAAGGCGTGGATTTTTTAAAGAATATTTTTCCCAGGCCTGTATAAGGCGTGGATTTTTTAAAGAATATTTTTCCCAGGCCTGTATAAGGCGTGGATTTTTTAAAGAATATTTTTCCCAGGCCTGTATAAGGCGTGGATTTTTTAAAGAATATTTTTCCCAGGCCTTTATAAGGCGTGGATTTTTTAAAGAATATTTTTTCCCAGGCCTGTATAAGGCGTGGATTTTTTAAAGAATATTTTTCCCAGGCCTGTATAAGGCGTGGATTTTTTAAAGAATATTTTTCCCAGGCCTGTATAAGGCGTGGATTTTTTAAAGAATATTTTTCCCAGGCCTGTATAAGGCGTGGATTTTTTAAAGAATATTTTTCCCAGGCCTGTATAAGGCGTGGATTTTTTAAAGAATATTTTTCCCAGGCCTGTATAAGGCGTGGATTTTTTAAAGAATATTTTTCCCAGGCCTTTATAAGGCGTGGATTTTTTAAAGAATATTTTTCCCAGGCCTGTATAAGGCGTGGATTTTTTAAAGAATATTTTTCCCAGGCCTGTATAAGGCGTGGATTTTTTAAAGAATATTTTTCCCAGGCCTATATAAGGCGTGGATTTTTTAAAGAATATTTTTCCCAGGCCTATATAAGGCGTGGATTTTTTAAAGAATATTTTTCCCAGGCCTTTATAAGGCGTGGATTTTTTAAAGAATATTTTTCCCAGGCCTTTATAAGGCGTGGATTTTTTAAAGAATATTTTTCCCAGGCCTGTATAAGGCGTGGATTTTTTAAAGAATATTTTTCCCAGGCCTGTATAAGGCGTGGATTTTTTAAAGAATATTTTTCCCAGGCCTTTATAAGGCGTGGATTTTTTAAAGAATATTTTTCCCAGGCCTGTATAAGGCGTGGATTTTTTAAAGAATATTTTTCCCAGGCCTGTATAAGGCGTGGATTTTTTAAAGAATATTTTTCCCAGGCCTGTATAAGGCGTGGATTTTTTAAAGAATGTTTTTCCCAGGCCTGTATAAGGCGTGGATTTTTTAAAGAATATTTCTATAGGTCCCATTTAAATTGAAACTCCAAAAAATTATTTTTTTTTCAATTTTTTTTATTCGAAATTTTATAAAATAATACTAAAAAATATTAAATATTATCGATCGTATGTTGGATTGATTTTTTTTTTTTGATTTGATATTGGATTCTTTGATTGCAGTATGTTTGTTTGTATATGTGCAAATTTATGTCCTTTACAGTGCAAATGGGGATAAGTGTGTTGATTGGTGGATGTGTATGTGTGTTTTGTATTTATTTTCACTGCTTAAATATTTATTTTTATTTAACTTCTTCTTTTATAAAAAAAATAATGCAAACATTCTTAAACCAGTTAAGTTAATATATTTTTTATTTAAATTAAAAATAAATTATTATTTGTTTTTTAAAGAAAAATTACACAAGGAAATTAATTTTACAAAGACAAAAATTATTCAAACGAAAAACAAATTAGTTTTGAAAATCTAAAAAAACTAAACCCATGAAACAAAATATTTAATTTACAAAAAAATTTTCCACAATTTGATATATTTCTTAAATACTAACAATGATTTGATATAGTTTTTTTTGTTTATTTTATTTATTTCATTATTTAAAGAGATTCAATTGTTAAAGCGCATTTTTTACAATTCCTCAGCTTTTGATTCGCTTTAAGTGTTTTTTTGTTTTCATTTTTTATTCTTTCGTGGGGAGGTAATAGAAAAAGGTTTTTTTCGCTTATTTCATTAATTTCACCAGCAATGCTGTCAACGCCAACAGTGCCCCGTATGGCATTAGCCCCGACACGCCATTACAGCCATCCGAATTGCATGTCTCACAGAAGACGGTCTTAATGTACGACGAAGTGGTGTCACGGGCACATTTATCTGCTGGATCATCGATGTCCTCATAGAAGCAGGAACGTGATATGACGCGTTTGCCATAAACTGAAATTGAAATAAAACAAGGAATTGAGGTTAGTACACTGGATAATCGATAAGGATGGTGGAATAATAAATCAAAGATGATTGTCAAGTGGGAGGATTTTATAGCATAAGTGGATACCCGTAATCGGAAAAAATTGAAAAACTATTCTTTAAAAAATCCACGCCTATTATAGTCCTTGAAAAACTATTCTTTAAAAAATCCACGCCTATTATAGTCCTTGAAAAACTATTCTTTAAAAAATCCACGCCTATTATAGTCCTTGAAAAACTATTCTTTAAAAAATCCACGCCTATTATAGTCCTTGAAAAACTATTCTTTAAAAAATCCACGCCTATTATAGTCCTTGAAAAACTATTCTTTAAAAAATCCACGCCTATTATAGTCCTTGAAAAACTATTCTTTAAAAAATCCACGCCTATTATAGCCCTTGAAAAGCTATTCTTTAAAAATCCACGCCTATTAAAGCCCTTGAAAAGCTATTCTTTAAAAATCCACGCCTATTATAGCCCTTGAAAAGCTATTCTTTAAAAATCCACGCCTAATATAGCCCTTGAAAAAATCCACGTCTTAGGCGACCCCTGAAAAAATATTCTATAAAAAATCCACGCCTTAGGTGACCTCTGAAAAATCCACGCCTTAAATGGTCCTTGAAAAAAGATTCTTTAAAAAATCCAGGCCTCAGATGATCCTGAAAATTTATTCTTTAAAAAATTCAGGACTCAGATGGCCCTGGGAAAGATATTCTTTAAAAAGCACGCTTTATATCCTCCTTAAAAAAATATTATGTTAAAAATCCACACCTGAATGGCTGGCCTTAAAGGTCTTCTGAAGTGGGCCTTTCGATACTTTAATTTGTATATTAAAAATCCATTTATTATGAAAAATTATTTTAAATGTGATTTTAAATATTCATACTTTATGACGTGTTGTATTCAATTGCCGTGTTTTGTTTTTTGTAATTAAAACCCAAAACCACTTAAAAATTATCAGTCGAAACTACACAACAAAATTGTTTATGGCTTGTTGAAATGTCAACATTTACAATTTGTTTCAAATTTATTTGCGTCTTTTTTTCGTCTGTGTTTGCGATTGATATTTATGCATCAAGTTGAGAAATACAAAATTTTTTGAGAAGTGCCGCCATTAAGTGGCATTACAACTTAACCGATCAAATAAATTCTAATGACATTGTTGCAATTTTGAAAAAATACAACAACAAGAAAATAATCATAATTTAAAAAATACAAATTTATGATTTCGAAAATCGTTTAAAGTTGCAGTTTTTATGGTATCGAATTTAGCCCACGCATTAAATACTTGGAACAATAGCGGAATTTTAATTTTTTTTTTAAGAAGAGGTAGACGTTTTAAAAATTATTTCTTGAAAAATTTCTATGGCCTTCTGAAAATTTCTATGGCCTCACATAGTCGGAGATTTTTAAAACATATTTTTTAAGGACCCCATAAAGTCTTGGATTTTTTTAAGAATATTTCTTAAGAACCACAAACAGGCGTGAATTTTTCAAAGAATATTTTTTAAGGGTCATACAACCCGGAGATATTTAAAATATATATTTTTTCAGGGACCATTAAAGGCGTGGATTTTTAAAAGAATATTTGTTAAGAAATATTTTTTCGCCGACCGTGGATTTTTTACAGTAGACTTTATTTAAGCACTGCCACAGGCGTGTATTTATACCCTACACAACTATGTTGTCAGGGTATTATAGCTTTGTGCAACCCCATAGAATTATTGGTCCTAGACCCACCTTTAAGTATAAAGATTGTAAACTCGATACAGGCCACAGTTTTGGACCAATCTTCATGAAATGTTGCAATGCCCAATGAAGACCCCTATTGTTTTTGATAAAGACAATATTTAGGGGATGAAATGGACCAAATACTAAATTTTTTCGGATTTTCTGGTCGCTCGAGATTTAGCGGGTCAAATGGACCCTAACTTTTGTGTGAAAAATGACAAATTTTATATTCAATGACGCATATATTTACTCCTAAAGGACATAGACCCGAGAAGTTGATAGTATATCCAAGAGGAGTGGATGACCTTTAAATTGATACCAATTGTATTGTCGTATGTACTCGGATGTGGGAGTTACACTTAAATATTTACTGGTGCTTACGTATTCATATATTATTTAGTAACCCATTACCACATTAAAGGGCGAAAATATAGAGCTAATCGCTTTGAAATTTTCCATGAGGATCAGGTTATGATCAAGGACAACGCCAATAATTTTGCGTGATGGTCAGATAATAATAATGGGATGAAGTGAACCGAAAATATAATTTTTGTGTTTATACCCTTCACCACGCTGTGGTACAGGGTATTATGTCTTTGTGCATATGTCTGTAACAGGCAAAAATAATTGAGATAGACCCATGGTTCCTTTTGAGAATATGCATAGAATCACTTTCTAAGTCGATTTATGCATGTCCGTCCGTCCGTCCGTCTGTCTGTCCATGTTAAATTGTAAACAAAGTACAGGTCGCATTTATGATCCGAATTGGATGAAATTTGGCATAGGTCACTTATTCGGCCCAAGGACGAACCCTATTGAAATTGGGAAAAATCGGTTCAGATTTAGATATAGCTCCCATATATATATTTAACCGATTTAATGTAAACGGTCCCTATATATCTTTCGATTTACACGAAATTTGGTACAGGCTAATCATTTAGGCCTATAATGATGTCTGCCAATTTTCGTGAAAATCGGTCCAGATTTAGATATAGCTCCCATATATAGTTTCGTCCGATTTCATGTAAATGGTGCCCCAAAGTCCCTATATATCTTTTTATTTGCACGAAATTTGGCATAACGTACTGAATTAAGCCTAGAGTGTTGTCTGCCAAGTTTCGTGAAAATCGGTCCAGATTTAGATATAGCTCCCATATATAGTTTCGTCCGATTTCATATAAATGGTGCCCCAAAGTCCCTATATATCTTTCGATTTGCACGAAATTTGGTACAGCCTAATCATTTAGGTCTAGAATGATGTCTGCCAAGTTTCGTGAAAATATGTCAATATTTAGATATAGCTCCCATATATAGTTTCGTCCGATTTCATGTAAATGGTGCACCAAAGTCCCTATATATCTTTCGATTTGCACGAAATTTGGCATAACGTACTTAATTGAGCCTAGAATGATGTCTGCCAAGTTTCGTGAAAATCGGCCCAGATTTAGATATAGCTCCCTTTTATTATAGATTGATTTTAAGTAATTGACGTACTAAGGAACCAATAGGAACAAAACGTTCTGAAATTAGTATAACCTAACCTGTGACAAGTTTGTTTGAAATCGCTCAATATTTGGATAGAGCTTCTATATATATATTCGCCCGATTTCAAGTAAATTGGGCATCAAACTCCTCATGTTAGTCAGATTGACATCAAATTTTGCACAACTTTCAAAATTGAGCATAGAATTAAGTAGTTGCGTTTTATAGAAGTGCAGACATAGCCCAACGGATGACCTATTTATATTTGTTTGAAGTCGATTGACATACTTTATGGATAGATCTAGGTAGATTCACATTTAGATAAATATCACATTTTTTCATCCAATTTTATGTTATAGTCCTGTTTAATATACCCATAGTGGTGAAGGGTATCATACAGTCGGCCCCGTCCGACTTTACTACTTTCCTTACTGGTTTTTTAAATATGTTTTTCAAGTCAGACGTGATTTATTAAATATTTTTAAGCTAACAAAACATGGTGGTTTTTTAAAAAAAAAAATATTTTTTCAAGCCATCAAAACAGACGTGAGTTATTTTTTAATTTTTTGTTTGTGAAGCCTATAAAAATCCGTGAATATTTTTTAAAACAAATTTTTAAAACCAACAAAAAGTCGTGGATTTTTTTCTTTTTTTTTTTGCAGAAGCAATATCTTTATTGGTCCATGTTCTGATTTACATTTTACATTTTTAAGGTTGTAGCCCAAGCTTCTGTAACTTTGCATTCCACTATATTGGAGGTTTAAAATACCTTGGGAGAATATTTTTAAAGAAGATTTATTTTGCCTAAAGTTACAGCCACTTCAGATATTCCGAATTTGTGTTGTATAAGAAACAGGTGCGGATTTTTGAAGAATATATTTTTAACCCTTTGTGGCCCAATGTTGCCCACAGGCAACAAAATGTTTTAGACCTAATATTTAATATACTGGTAGTAGATATATATTCTTTAAATTGCATACGTCAAGGCCTGATTATGGACGACACATATCACAAGAAAAATCTAACAAATTCAAATTTTTGGTAAAGTTATGAGCTTTTTAATATGGAGAAGAGGGCAAAAATGTGTACAGTACTAATTTGTGTATACAGTCCAAATTATTTAACCCTTTGAGGCCCAATGTTGCCCACAGGCAACAAAATGTTTTAGAGCTTATATTTTTTATGCAGATAGTAGATATGTATTATTTGGATTTCATATGTCAAGACCTGATTATGGACGACACATATCAAAAGAAAAATCAAAAAAAATTCAAAATATTGGTAAAGTTATGAGCTTTTCAATATAGAGAAGAGGGTAAATTTGTGTACAGTACTAATTTGTGTATACAGTCCAAATTATTTATATTGCTTCGTATTCAAATTTTATAAATTCTATCCTCAGAATCACTTTTGATTCTTGTAAAATTGAATATAGAGAATAATTTAAAATGATTTTTCTGACAATTTTGCATTTGGTTTTCTTGATATTGGACTTTAATTTTTCCGAAAGAATGTACTGTATCTCCCGAATGCAAGGATATATCGATGTCAAATTTTGTGCATATCCTATTTAGGATAGCTGCATTAAATCTGTGAACAGAAAATTGTTCTATGATTACGGAAAAAAAATCGGGGCTCAAAGGGTTAAGGACCAGAGGACCTGACATTTTTAGGATAATGTAAAAAAAAATTCCCTTTTAAGTTTCGTTTCGAGCAATAAAAACCCAAAAATCCATAACGCACATTTGGAGCACTTT